CCAGCAGGCAGGATGCTGATTGGCTGTCTCCGCACCCCCCGTCCTCCATCCTAGTGCACGTTCCGTGGTGCCCGGACACCCCATCCTGCTGCCGCCATGCCCTTTCCGTCGCCTCATCACCACCTCACCTTGTCAGCTTGTTGGCACCTTGCCATGAGACCGAGTGGCCAGGTATTCGGCAACGCACCCTGGGCAAGGAGAGGGAAGCACCTCTAGCAGCAGTGAGCATGCGGGCAGCTGCGCACGGCACTCCCGCCTGGTACTTCCCGGAGCTAGAGCGGTGCACGGCCAGCATGTGGGGCCTTGCCACCAGTGCGAGCGTCCCAGGGAGACTGTGTCTCCTGCTCTGCCTCCACCCCCTGCCCCATCCCACGTGGTTCCTGACAATACAGGGGCCTCTACACTGCCCTCCTGCTGGCCTCCCAGTGGAGTTTCCCGGGCAGTTGCCCAGGTAGGCATCCTTGGGGAGGTGTGCCCAGCAGGGCATGCTTCCCCCCACCCCTAGCACTGGTGCCCACACTGCAGCTCTCCATGCACCAAGCTGCTGGGAGAAGGCAGCCCCAGAAGTGAATTCAAACCTGGCACCTGGTGGGGGGAGCGTTGGACGTAGGTGCAGCATGGGCAGGGGAGGGGGATGCTTTTCTGCTGCTCCTGCAGAGCATCTGCACTGCTCTGAGTAAACAGCGGCTCTGTGGAAAGTAGGCAAAAATGAAGCCGCGGCAGCCAGCTGAGAACATGTCCGGGGAGCATAAGGATGACTGGGAGGGAGGCAGGCGGGGCAGGCAGGACCAGTGCATGCTGGGATTGATTCCCAGCCACAGGGGCTAATAGCTTATGTGCCGCCACTTGAAGGGAAGATGGAGGTGTGCAGCGGTGACTCATGAGTAGTCACCATGTGAATGTGTGAATACAGAACTCAAGGGGAGATACCATGCTGCATGGAAACAGCACATCTTGGTTTACCACACACTCACTGGAGCTTATCAGCTGCCTGTCAGCTAGGTATGCTCAACTTAAAAACCTAATTATGAACAAGTTGATGCAAGGTAAGCATGAAAACAAATGTGCCACACATCAAATTTCTAAATATTACATTTCCTTCACATTTTTCCTCCTTGAAGTAACTACTCATGATTCTTATCTTTCCCCTATTTTTCTAAACAACAACACAGTGGAAGTAGAAAGGATGAAAGAACAGGGATGTCTACATGCTACTTTTAATGCAAGGGCTGTCTGTATACATGTGGGGGTCTACCAACATCTGGAGGCACCATGTTGAACAAGCTGTTGTGCGGAAGTGCCAACATGACTGGAATGCAAAACACTGGACAAGTGTTACGGGCAGCACTGGATTTAAAACTTTCTATTCCCAAGACAGGTTGGGAGTCCATAAAGATCTTCAATCCACACCACAGAATATGTTGTGGAGAATTTTAATAAAGGATCTGAATACGCAAAATCTGGTATTGAGAAAAGGCCTGCCTTTCCATCTCTTGGAACAAGTTTTCTTCCAGCGTTTTGCTGATCTAACCAGACACAGTTTTGTCACCTATTTAATATGCAGTGCTTCAAAATGAGGAAAAATTCCTCGCATTTTCTTGGCATGTAATGAGGGACCATGCAAGGAACCCTCCTTTTTTGCTTTTGCAGCGCTTCTTTGTTCTTCTTTTTTTACAGATGCACAAAATCTGTTAAGGAGAGAATAGTTGCACAATGCCTTTTAACAGTACTGACAGGCACTGTCTGTCTGAAGCACTCATTTTCTCTAGCTAGAATTAAAACATTTAGAAGAGCAAAAGCCTTCAGCATGTTCTAGGGATGGGAGAACTGAGGATATTTGAGCTTGTTGAAAGTCTTTAAACTTCATTTCAACGCTTGGTTTGGCTCAGTCTTGTTTTTGTTTGCAAGGTGTTTTTCAGTTTGTTCAGCTGGGAGGAAAACTATTATTCTGCACATTACCCAAAAGTGTGCATTTTCTCATGATTGGCCATAGCATGAAATGTGCATTTTTAAATATGTTGTTGTTTAGCAGAGTCGAGACTGACCCATCGCGACCCCATGGACAACATTTCTCCAGGCTCTCCTGTCCTCCACCATCCCCCAGAGTCCACCTAAGCTCACACCGACTCCTTCAGTGACTCCATCTAGCATTTTTAAATACATACTTTCAAAAATGCAATTGCAAGTTCCGTAATATGAAATTTTGCAAAAAAAAGGAGTGGGGGCTCCTGTTCACATTTTTGATATTTGCACAAATTCCTTGAAAGGGAAAAAGGTGGGATATAAATAAACAAACTTCAGTGAAACCCCCTACCTCCATAGCATGTGCAGAATGCTGTGGTAATATGGACTGCAGTGCCACCTACTGGCACAGTATGGTTTTGCAGTTTTCTTCATACACCTAGCCTAACATAGGGAATTTAGCATATCTTCTCTGATTATCAGATAAGTTTCAATGTTACAACATGCATTCCTTTTAGGAACAGGGCCTTAAAAAAGAGGATGTGATCAGTTGCAGTCATTTAGCCCATGCAAATCATCTAACTGCTCTTGCTGTAAATCAGGGATGGGCAGATTTCATTAGTAGTTTTACCAAGAAACTAAAAATGATGTTCTTTGTTTCTTTACCAGAATTCCCATCACAGTGAAGGGACAAAAGCTGCAAGCAGTGGACCAATTTACATACCTTGGCAGCACCATCTCCCATGCAGTGACAATTGACATCGAGGTCAACTGCAGAATCGCTAAGGCAAGCGCCGCATTCAGCTGACTGATGACCAAAGTGTGGGACCGCCGTGGAATAAGCCTTGCTACAAAGCTTAAAGTCTACCGAGCAGTAGTGCTAACTACCGTGTTGTATGCCAGCGAGACTTCGACTGCATACAGGAGGCATGCTAGGCAATTGAACCACTTCCACACGACTTGCCTCTGCAGACTTCTGAGGATCTGGTGGCAGGACAAGGTGCCAGACACAGAGGCCCACTCCAGAGCAAGCCTGCCATCAGTTCACACCCTGCTGATGAAAGCCCAGACACGCTGGGCAGGCCATGTTGCAAGGATGCCAGACCACCCCATCCCCAAACAGCTCTTCCATGGTGAGCTGTCTCAAGGAAAGCGATCGCACGGGGAACAAAAGAAGTGATACAAAGACACGCTGACATCACCTCCTGGGAGACCCTGGCACAAGACTGATCAACATGGCGCACGCTGATCCACGGAGGCTGCCAAACATCTGAAGCAGAGGGAGTCAGAAGGAGCTTCCCGGGTCATCTAGTCTGACCCCTGGCTCCAGCCAGCTCTGCTCATGACATGCCTTATTGTTGTTAGTCGTGACCCCATGAACAACATTCCTCCAGGCCTTCCTGTCCTCCACCATCCCCTGGAGTTCACATATGCTCATGACATGCCTACCATGTGCAAATTACATTAATCATGTAATTTTGGAGCAACCACATCACCAAAACAGGGGACAAAGGAAGGCATCAAGGTATTTTCTTCTGTTAATTAATATGTCTATGGGAAAATCTGGAAATCACTTGAACAGAAATAGAGCACAATAGAAGTCTATGACCAGGTGAGCTGTGTGCCTGCCCAGGTGCTGCTAGCTTCTGCAAGGGGCAATTGAAAGGCCCCTTCTCTCCCTTCTTTTCATTCTTATCTTTAAGCCAGACTTGGACTGGACAACCCTTAGAGGATACCTTCAAAGAGAGTATTGTCCTTGGTAAAGGGGAACACCTGAGCATCCATCCTATGCCAAAAGGAAGAGGCATAGAAGACCACCAGCTAAGAGAAACAGTGGGAAAGACAGGAAACAGGAATTTCTCAAAGCAGAATGAGAAATCCAAGGGGAGGAAAAATGGAGAGAGTAAACTGAGATGAAATTTGCATGTTGGCAGGAGCGGCAGAAGTAAGAGTGGCTTGCTGAAAAAAGTTGACTGGAGAACTGTGTTAGAACTGTCAAATCCAAACTGACCCTTTTCCTGAACACAAGGCAGAAATGTTTATTGCACTGCTTTCAAAGTTTTCAAAGAGTGACATCAAGTGATTAAATCTAGTATTGCTTTTTCTGTCCTGCTCTGTCCAATTTTTTCTCCCCTTCACTAATACTATCTCTTCTCTTCTCTTCTCTTCTCTAACAAGTTAAATTGCTTGGTTCTGAAAAGTGGTTTAAAATATTATAATTTAGGAAGATCCAGGAAGCACTTACAGAGAATCAAGCATAATATTTATTTTTTGGAGGCCAAGCATTAAGAGTCACTTTGTGGTATTCTAGGGTTGTGCTTCCAAACCCCAAGGTCTTTATTAGGTGCCGAAATGATCCGTGGGCACTGACTGCACTGTAACCACACAAGCATCAGTTAAACCACAACCATGTGATGGCAGTGATAGAATTTCACCTCCCAAATTGTCTGTGTCAACTCAAATGATTTACTTCCCCTTTCAGCTCAAGGGACTAAGCAAAATATTTGCAACCAAATTCTTTTTTTCAATAATCCTACTTTTTCCAATGGGAGAGTAAAGTTTGATTTTTCATATCTTTGTTATGCAGTACAGTCCTATATGAATGTTGTTCAGAAGTAAGCCCAACTGATTTCAGTGAAATTTTCTCTAGCCAAGTGCGTATGCAACTACAGTCTTAGAACACATGCTTTGTCTGAAAAAAAAAATCTTATAGGCATTGCACACATTGCAAATCATGGAATTGCCCAGAATTTTTTCCGTCTAAATTCCTTTAAGGCAGATTTTTTTTTTTTTTTAAAGAAAAGGCTATGTTTTCTTTTTTCTTGCAATAGGACTGCTGTGTTCACATGAATATAAGTAAGCAACATTAGCATTGCACTGGCTTTGGTTTTTGTTTTGCATACCTTTAACTGAATTACTGTGGGCAAGATTCAGGTTTGCAGGCTCCACTTTGCTTTTTACAAGAATCCCAAGATCTATGAACAGAAGTCTGCTGCAAACAATGTGTGTGGAATTAAATATTTCTAATACTAGGAATCTGAGAGTTTCCTCAAATTTAATTTTCAATATAAACACATATAAGAAGAGTGGAAAACTTTTAACATGCAACCAAAAGTATCACTGCACATTGGATGTACATTTTAGAAGTCATAAATGAGCTTTTATGCATTGCTATGCCAAACAGACTATGCACTTGGTGATGCAATGTGAAATAAACATGGATTATGTTAATGTGTCCCTCTAGGATTGAAGACATCTTTACTGATGGAAGAAAAAAAAGGCAACCAGTGGACTAAAGACCCATTACACCTGAAGGTAACCAACTTGAGTCAAATTTTCTGCAAAATCCAGTTTTCTACACAAAATCCCATGCCTGATTATTCCGAACGTTCTTCTTTTCAGATATATAATATGGGATGGGATCCTTTTGTGGTGGCTCCTGTTGAATATCTGAAATCAAAGAAATATATCAGTAAACCCAGATATACCTACTGTCTTCCCTTGCAATAGATTATAAGTCCTTAAAAGTTCATGTCATAATTGATATGTTAGTCTTAGTGGGCCACAAAATTTGTCATTGTTTCATAGGTAATTCCATAGTGGGCTATCCAAAAGTGTGTGCCTACATAACATTGTTTCCTGCAGGAGAATTGCTAGGATAGTGCTATATGACTACACTGACCAAGCCAGAAATCCAGTCTTTGAACTGAATTCAAACTAATATGCCTGTGTTAACTGTGTATAGTCAATAGTACATAGCCAATAAGTGCCTTATACTACATCAGACCACAGGCCCAGTAGTGTCAATATGGGCTGGCAGGAGCCCTCCAGGATTTCATGTAGAATCCTTTCCTAGTCCTACCTGAAGAATCCAGGGATTGCACTTCAACAGATATGATGAAGTCTTCACCAAGTATCAAAACTTCAACCTATAGGAGAACATCTCATATGAGGTGGGATCTCTGTGCCACTGGATCACAATGGCAGACAGAGCAAAGGTTCTGTGTATCACTATAGGATGGGAACTGGAGTTAGGCAACTACAATGTACATCTTGCAGACAGACAGACAGATGTGCAGACAGATGAATGGACAGAGGTCTTAAATCAGGACCTTGAGTCTTATCCTGTTCCACCACCATGCTATCCTAGGCTATCCATCCAGACTAGGTTTTTTGGCAAAAGGTTGGTTTGTCTTGGTTTCAGTACTGATCTCAGTTTTGTTGCCTGATCACAAGTCACAAACCAATGGAGAAATGCAAGGTCCAACCACCAAACCCTTACATGACTCTTTGTTCTGTCTCTGGACATTGAGCCTTCTTTGCCTGATCCATACCCCATCTGGGACTATAGCTCCTGCCACTGGTCCAAATGAACTGTGGTTTATTGCCAATAAATCTTGGATCAAGGTGAAGCTCAGTGGATGACTTTGGGCCAGTCACTCACACTCAGCCTAACCTACCTCACAGGGCTGTTGCTGTGAGGATGAAATATATAATATAAGCCACCTTGGGGTAGTCAGCATAGGAAAGAAGGTGGGATCTAAATGCAATATTGTAGTGATAAGAATATACTATGCATAAACATCACCATCCTTGTCTCTGTTGGAGCTGTACCAGAATGAGATGGTGCAGTATGAATAGATCAGCTGTTGCAGGATATAAGAAATCTGGTTATTTTCTGCAGCTGCTACATTTGAGGTAGCTGTTTGCAGATTCTATTGTTTGTTAATGCCTCAAAGCATTGGAAAAGTTTCCTTTATTTGGCTCTGGCTTACACTTTACTGATAAATAAATAATTTAATAAATAAATAAATAATCACTATTAATGATTAATAGTGCCTATCTTGTAATCAATTTGAAACATTATAAGATTAGCATCAGTGAAATGAATTGCTAGGGTTGCATATCATTCTGAGGGCATGTTATTGCAATTGATGCACTGGTATACTTTCTTGTTTTTCTATTGTTCTTGAGATGCTTTAGATATATTTTGTGAGAAAGTAACATAAAAATAGATGAAGTTGATAAACTTAGCCATTATAGATATTTAGTCATTAGGATCTAAGTGATAATGACTGGTCAGACTGCTGCCTTCTGACTTTTTATTGAAATGCTTAACTAAATCCACCTCTTCCACCAATTTTGCCAGGCAACCTTGCCTTGATTTCCAAGAATTTTGTGATATCAGAAGAAACAACATGTTTACATTGGGTACCTAAATTTTTGCCCAGTTCTGTGTTTTGTTGATTGTTCTTTGTCGATTGTTTGCTTTCTGTATGAGTTTTTTGTGTACATTAACAGTTTATTTTAGAATTCTGTCCTCTTCCTGTCATGTGATTGTTTATCTTTTTCTCAGGAAGAGCAAGGAAAACACGTAGCTTGGACAAAAGGGAAAATAGATTTTTTACAGTAGTTGTGTTATGAATAAGGTTTTACTACTACAACAAGAAGTTTAGAGTAAATCATTTAAAACAGATTAGTTGGGAAGGAACTATTTGTTTTTATTTATTTTTTATTTTTTTATTTTAAATTATTAAATGTTATTTAATATTTTGTTGTATTTAAAACACAGAATTTAAAAGATTAAAGCAGCCTCCCCCAGCCAGGTTCCTCCAGATGTGTTAGATTACAGATACCATGATTCACAGTCACCCAACACAGGCTGGGGTTTATAGCATCTGTAGTCCAGCGAATATGGAGACCAGGAGGATTGGAGAAGGCTGAATTAAACCAATACCAGATTATCCTATTTCTGTATTTAAAGTTGCTGTTACCACATGAACTTAAAAGGCAGATTGCATGGACATGAAGGCACAGATTGAGATGATCAGGGGAGGCTGAAAGCTTAGGATGAGAGGATATCTCTTCTCAGGATTGCTACCACCTAGAAGGAAAGTGCCTTTTTATAGCAAATGCTTATATTTGTAGACCTAAGGAACTCTCTGTCACTGCAACTCAACAAACAGAACCTTTCCTGCTGCCACCAATACTGTTACCTGGAAACCACCTAGTATAAGCAGCTTAGGCATGTGTTGGGCACCCCAAGTTATTCTAAGAACATAATATTTTGTACATAAGTACTAATGTTTCCTTTGGGGTTTTTCAAAGTAACAGTTCAAATACAGACAGTCCTTTAAGGCTCAAGTGACACTGTTATCGGTCTAGTTCAGCATCCTGTTCATAACCACAGCAATCGAGGAAGCTCACAAGCAGGTCATGAAGTGCCCTTCTTCAGGCATCATTCCCCATCACAAAATGCCTCTGAACCTGGAGGTAGAGTTTATCTATCCTTGCTCACACCCCTTGATAGTTAACCTCCATGAATTAGTTCCAATTAGAGAGCCATCCCATGGTCTTTGACTCTAGCCTGCACCCTCCCCAGAAGGAACCACACTGTCTGAAGGGCTCTTGCAAGTCATGACACGGCCCAGAGGGCAGCCAGGCATCCGCTTCACATATGGCAGTCCTCTGCTTGAAGGGCCATTCCATTCAAGCCAAGTTTAAAACTATTAACTGACAAGAAAGGAAAGCAGGAGCCCAGAAAGTGATCGTTAATGTTTAGCGTGTGGGCTGCAGACTAAGAGGCACAGAAGTCACCTTGTCACAGCCTTCCTCACTTAGGTGAAATGAATTACATCTCTATTTAAATTGGAGTAATTATTTCTAAATGCTCATCTGGGCATGTAAATTAGCTTATGCAATTGTTGCACAAATGTTGTCCTGGTTTGGGGCAGATGTGTGTCCTCTTTTGGCAATGAATAAATAGCTACCCTGGTAACTTCCAATCTGGTGCTAGAATACTCTAGTATGTTACAAGGCCAGTAGTAATATTATTATTGGGGTGCCCACAAGCCTGAAGTGGCAACCTACACACTCCGCAGTGCCAGCTTCAATCAACAGTTTCCAGACTTTTGCCAGAGAATGTAATCTTTCCATAATCTGTATCAGATGTGATTGGATAGCTCAATGACTCTTAGTGCAGAGCCAGAATATAATTACTCACTCTCATACACATGTGCAGAAACATGGTAAGGCTGAGGGACTCCTAGATCCTTTGGTGTGGAAAATGAAGTCTGCTTTCCACTTTAATTCATATGCAGCATCTTTTCCCAACCTAGTGTCCCTCAGACCTTTTGGACTACAACTCCCATCAGTCTCAGCTAGCACAGCAATGGTGATGGGAGTTGTACTACAAAACAACTGGAAAGTACCACCTTAGAGAAGGCTGAACTATAGAACCTTAAGTTTGAGAAATTCTGGCCGACCAGCCCTTGTTTATTGTAATACTTTTGCCATAAAAGCTTTCTTGGAAATTCTAGTGTTGCTGAATGAATGACTGAATCATGTTGGCTCTGAAAACTAAAATTACCATCAACAGCAACACAAAAAATAGGGAACATGCTCAAGGCTCTTCATACTGTAAGGACAATCCAAGAGCTGCCAGCAAGTATCAGCCTTGTTTAATACAAGACTAGCTTCCCATTAAATAAAACAGAGATGTTAATGTGGAATAATGGAACAATTATGTCCAATCTGATAGCAGGAAATATGCTGGACGGGAATGACGACCTTGCCATTTGTAAATGAGACCATCCAGTCTGCTGCTGGAACTGTTACTTGTTAGTCAAATGTAATTATAGTGTTAAATTCACAATGTCAGAGAGCAGGAAAATTGTGGTTCTCATTTTCAAACATATGTACACATATTTAACATGTTAATGAGTAGCTCAGCATCTTCACATCTGGAATATACCAAGCACAAGTGAAAAGCTGTTGCTTAGTTGAAAATGAATGTCTCAAAAAGAACTTTGTTCCATGAATTTCAAAGTGAGAAAAATACATTGGTAGAGTTCGTTTATTTTCCACTTTGCAGTTATATGATCTGTTTTGTGGTTTGGTATGATGATCTCATTGAAATCCCCAGTCACCTATGAAACTCAAGAGCACTGCTTTTAGGTATACCCTTAAGCTATTTTAATTAATTATATTTATATCCCATCTTTTTTCCTTTCAAGGAACTCAAGACAGCCCACATAATTCTCTTCCTCCTCTCAATCTATTCCTCACAACAACAACCCTGTGACATAGGCTGGGCTGAGAGTCTGTGACTGAACCAATGTCTCCAAAGTTATCCATGGCTGAGCGGGGACCAGAGTCCAGAACTCCTGACTCCCAGTCCTGCACTCTTAAGCTTTACACTACACTTTTTACTTTACTCCCTGAGGTTCCCAGTTTGCTTTAATGGTCAAACTTTAGATCGTTACACCAGCGTGGGTATGACACACATGTCAGCCTAAGCCAGTGGTTGCATCCTGCAAACATGGCTTCTTACGTACCTTGAACTTCCTGCAATGCTGAGCCCAGTGCAAACCTAAGTCAGCTTGTGCATATACTAAATATTTGGTGGGAAAGTGCAAAGAAGTTACACCCAGAGCAGCACAAGCTGCAGTAATAGAAGACTGTAAATCTTGGAAACACCCCTGGAAATATCTTTCAAGTCCCTTTTGATGAACTTTCAACACCTTCTCTAGACCTAAATTTAGGTTGCACCATCATCCTCATTTACTATCATTTTCAATATAAAACACTCTTTGTCATATTTTAAAGAGTAGTTCCTGGAAACAGGGAGAAATAATTTAGTGGTTCTCTGATTAAGATGTGTTTTGAATGTATTTTTCCAATCAGTCCAGATGACATAGCTGCTGAAATTTGCCTGGTTATGATCATCTTTGTTATGAAGAGGTGTTGATACCAGAAAATTCCCTACAGCAGGTATGTGCAACTTGTAAGCCATGATGTTTGGAGACTCGCAACTCCATTGACCCCTATTGTTGGCTGTGCTGAATAGACTTGAAAGGACTTGTAGAACACATGTCTGAGCACTCCTGCTGTAAAGTCATATTATGCAGGTAATGTCTAGGTTCCTACTCTGTCTGTTGACGAATGTAACAGGAAGCTGTGATGGAGCTCTTTTTCATAGAGGGATCCTGAAGGCAGCTGGTTTGCCATCATGTGCTTGTAGTTCTGGACTGGATGGACCTTTGGCTTGATCCAGCATGGCTTTTATGTTCTTATGTTCTCATATTCAAAACTTACACATCAATTTAGCTTAGCTGTCCTTCCACCCTTTCCAACATCTGAGTGGTCTTGGAACCTCTCCATTCCCAGATTTGATATCATCACTCTTTCTAAAAGCAAACCCAGGTAACACGTATCCACGGAAATGAAGTTGAGAGAGACTACTGAGAACAAGGTGGAGACATCAGCTGAAGAAATTCAAACATTGCAAGAGTATAAAACATACCGAGTTCTTAACACCATTGACTGTCATCCATTTAACAAATGATACCCAGTGGGGGACGTCCACCATCAGAAACATATACCAAAACAGAGATCTGTTTGCACAGCTTCCTTTTTCCTCCTTTCTGTAGAACTCCCTTCCCAAGTCGCTGTTCATTTCACCCACACTTTTATGAAAACAGCAAAACTTTTATAGCACCAGGAAAAGACTGTTCTTTTCTCTCAGGCATTTTAGAGACCTAGGGCTAGATTTTTATAGCTGTTTTATTGATCCCTGTGCTCTTTATTGTCTTGTCTTGTATTTTGTTTAATAAAATATTTGTGTTTTTATAGTTTATATTATATATGTTCCCTGGATTTTATTTTTTTCAACTCTTTGTAATCTGGCCATAGAATAATAATTATTGGGTGGATTAGAAACATAATGAATGAACAAATAAATCCCAACATCTTCCAACCAGCACAGAGATACAAAGTTATAATCCAACAAATCTGGAAGGAAGTAAGCTGGGTACAGCTGCTTTATATCACCTCTGTATGTTGGGACTGAAACAGCTGATGTCAAAATTATGCTTGTTTGTCTACTTTAATCAAGGTTTCCAATTGTCCTGCTTTTTTAAAGCTGATGTACTGTAATGGTTAAGCTATGAATCAGGCATTAAATCTTGTCTCAGCCACATTGTCTTTGTCCTTCCTGAGAAATAATAATCAATTCAAATGGAGGCTACAGCCAAGAAATTAGAAGAAAACTGAGAGCTGGCATGGTAGCAATGGAGGAACTAGAAAAGATGAAGTCTAAGGATGTTTCACTGGAGATGAAGGGCCAAGATTATCCACATTCTTGTATTTCTGGTCATTGGGTACATTCCCATGTAATGCTAAGCAATGCCACCTTGAAACCAGTTGTGCCTTGGTTCAGACAGGTGCTTGGCTTCTATGCATGTGTGGTTTCTACACACGTTTCTCCATCTTCCCTCCAAATGTTAGCCAGTATCCCATCAGCCTCCCGCAGCTGAAAATCCATCACAGGGCACAGTACTCCTGCCTGAATCCCCTGCCTCCTTCTCACTGGCCCACACACCCTCTGAATGAGGCTACAGCCAGCTGCCCTTTTTTCTGCAGCTCAGCAAAGTAACTGCCTACTCAGAAGGGTAGCACTGTTACTCTAAAAGAGCACTACAGGAGCATCCCCACTGCTGCCCTGCTCTGTGCCAGCGTGCAGGTACCCCTGCACACACCCATCTCTTGCTGTGCGCGTGTTCACCCCCCCCATGTGCAAGACTCATACATCTGCCATGCGCCGCCTCCCTCCTTCAACCAGGCACATGGAGGGCATCAACATGGACATCTGTCCCATGGACGCAGGGTACGCATCCTGCCAGGCAGACTTTTCCAAGATACAGATGCCTGGGCATCTCTCTGCCTGGAAAAGTCAGGACCATGTTTGTTCTGCAGCTGTTGGCGGTGGGAGGACATCAGGGCTTGCTGAGAATCCTTAGGAATGCCAGGGACAAGAAAAGAACGGAAGGGAGAAGAGCAGACAGAGCAAAAGACGTGGGCATCTCAGGGGATTGTATGAAGCCTGCATGTTCCTCATGTGGAAGGCAGCTTTCTCATCAGGAGTCCACTGGCTTCCAGAGTGGCACCAACACAGCCATTTCAAAGCACTGTTCCAGTAGACCCAAACTCTATGGCAGAAATATGAAAATTGCATGGAGAAATTACACCTAGATTCAAACAAGCCATGGTAAAGCATGGAAATATTACAACAAGCTGCTGTTTCTCCACATGGAAACATACCGTACTTCATTATGGGTGTTGGGTTCCGACATAATAACAAGCCACCATGCCCGTGAGTTTTCCAACATATGTTCCTACCATTTCTTCTGCTTTTTTCTTACCACCAAAAAAGAATATAAAAATCCATTAAGGAAGAGAAGACAAAAGAAGTGACTAGCAATCCCCAAGAGCTGTCCGTCCGAAAGCACTCTTTCTCTTAACTCCAGTCCCTGCATCTGCGATATGTGGGATGATTTATAGCAAAGAATTATTGTAAGGATTACAAATAGAAAATTCATGTAAACTCTTAAAAGTGCTATGTTAAGTGATAATAGAAGTAGTAATAAGTAATTCTTCTGGTGATTTGTTTCTTATGGAAGTGCTTTACTGTTTCCTTGTTAAACTATTCATATGATTGTGAAAAGAAGCAAATAGCATGTAACATACGGACCCTCAGTTTTCAGGGCTAACCCATTGCAATAAGGCAGCAAACCAATATTTAACCCCTAATTTTATTTATTATTTCATATTTGTATGCCACTAGAATAACCCATATCTGGGCTTTCTGCATGGCTCACAATATAAAAACAGCACAGCATTCTAAAATCAATGATATTAAATCAACATATTCAAAACTTATTAACACCATAATCCAAATATAAAACATAGTATATCAAAATTAAAATATAAGATGTTAAATAAGACAGTTTTAAACTAAAATCAACTAGAACAAAAATGGGGTGAATTTAAAACCAAATAAGCATTAAAATGCATTGTTAAAATAGCTGAGGAAAAGGTGTCTGCCCAGTGCTGAAATGCTAACAGTGTCAGTGCCACGCACACCTTTCTGACCAACCTATTCCAGAGGTGGAGTATAAGCACCAAGGTCTTTCTTCTAGCCAGCACCTCCTTCGCCTCCTCACTCGATCTTAACAGGCAGGAAGGAACATACAGGAGCAGACGATCTTTCAGGTACCCGGCACCTAGGGCTTTCTATGTAAATACAAGCACTTTAAATTGGGCTCAGAATTCTAGTGGCAGCCAATGTAGTTAGTATAAGACAGGTATGACATGGTCTTGCAGACTATATCTTGTCAGTAATCATGCAGCCCTATTTTGAATATCATATTATGGGTGCCATTGAGGGGCAGCAAATTGTTGGGGGGTTTTCTAACAACCAGTTTTAATTTTAAACACTGATTTATGTGACATATTTAAGTTTCAAGGCTATGTGGTATAAAGGACAGATGATGGAGAGAAAGAAAAGAACATAAGCAAATGATGAGCAATTTGCATATCGACTTGTGTGCACCAGTTGCGATAGCATTTCACGTGAAGGGGACATTTGGTCTGGGCACTCAAGCGCTAACATCTTATTTCTGTTTACTCATAATGTTTTAGCCTTGGTGCAGTTTCCATTCTCAGGTTTCCTCCCCTTTCACAACAGAACTGTGTTTCTACATCCCCTTTTAAGGGTTGCTATCTAGGTGGAAGAAACCTTGGCTCAGTTTCCCCACCCATACTCCTAACAAGTCAAGAGTCTGCCCTTTCTGGTCTTACAACAAATATATGAAATTTTAAAAAAATCAGGCTGTCCTGATTCCTCCAATAGAAGCCCCAGCACAAAAGTGCAGAACCCCAGACTTTGGGTCTCAATTCAACCTATCCTTTTCCTCAATCACATATTAGCTGCTAGTTTCCCAGCTTTTGTGCAGTCCATGCCCCCCCCCCCATTCTAAAAGGTTAAAATGCTTAAGAAGAACTTGAGAGCAATTCTACACATGCTTAGACAGAAAAAAAACTTCTTACAACCCAAGGATGCTCCAGCCAGCATGGGCTTACAACTCCCATCTTCCTTCACCATAGGCTTCACTGGCAAGGGCTGATCAGAATTATAGGCCAAGATGTTTGGAGGACCAACAATATTTAAAGTAAACAGAAATAAGACAAGGTAGACTTGCCCAGGCCATCAGGAACTGCACATTTTGCTGCTTAAACAGGCATATAATTGCACTCTTAAACATATGCTGGTGTTTTGAGCCCTGTTCCTTTTGTCTTCGGCCCGATCCACCACCGAATTCCCGAAAGAGAATTCAGCCCTCGGAATGAAAGACGTTCCATGCTGGATGAAGAACTTTGCGGCCCTCCACATATTTCAGCCTCCATCTCCCACCAACCCTAGCCAGTAAAGCCAGTGGTGAGGCATGATGGGAGTTGTAGTCCATAATATTTGGACGGCCGCTAGTTCCCCCCACCCCGTTACCCTAAGAAAGCACCTGATTTCTGTATGTGAAGCAAGGCTGTTGAGAGAAAGGGTCTTTGCGCGCTGGCAGGAAGGAGGGCCCACCGTTCTCCCCTTCGTGATGAAGCAGGCTGGCAAAGGCACCGGCCATGCATCGCACCTGGGCAGACTTTCTTCCTAACTCGACAGACTATGTCATTATAGGCAATTCCTGGCTTTCCAGATTTTTTCTGGGGGGGCGGGGGCGGGGGCTTACAGCTCCCATGATGCCTCAGCATAGACTATGCTGACTAAGGGTGATGGGAGTTGTACTTCAGAAAACCGCAGGGCCACACATTGCCCACCCGTGCGATTTGGAAACGCTGTGAGGTTGTTACCAGGAACGCGCGGGCGGCGGTGGGAGACTCTGCACATGTTCAGAGGCGCGCTGGGGATTCCTACGTCGCTTGCTCCGCCCACGCCCGGCACTGCACGCAGCGGAGGGAGTTCGATGAGGGTTCGGCCGCGGGACGAAGCGCTCCTGACAGCCCTGCCTTCCGCGCGTCTTCCTCCTCCTCCTCCTCCTGGGCCGCCGCTGCGACTCCGGGAGGACGGGCTTCCCGCGGCCTTCTACCACTCCTCCGCTCGGGGAGGGCCGTCCCGGAAGGCTCGTGGGCCGGGCCGCTTGCGTAGTTCCCGTGGGCTGGGGACGGAAAGAGAAGGAAGGGGAAAAGGGAAGGGAAGGGGAGGCGCTCTCGATGCAGAGCAGGCAGCAAGAGCCGCGGCAGCGGCGGCGCTCCGAGGAGGAGCAGCGGCAGCGGCAACAGCAGCTGCGGCTGGAGCGAGAGCAGGAGGACGAGGAAGGCACCGGCCAGGCCTGGGCCCCGCACAGCATGGAGATAGAGAAGGAGTTCCAGCGGCTCGACCAGGCCGACAGCTGGCCGGCTATCTACCAGGTGAGCCGAGGCTCGGCGGGTGGGCAGGCTTGGCGAAGCGGCGGACCCTGAAGGCGCGGGCCCAGGAGCTCGAGCGAGCGAGCGAGCGAGCCCGCCCGTCTCTCCCGCGGCAGCGTCCCATTGTCCGCGCTTTGTCCCCTTCTGCTGTCCTGCAGACTCGCCTCGGGTCCCTCGGACAAAGCTTCCCGCTCCTCTCCCGACCTCGCCTTCCTCTCCTCGCCTCACATTGTCTTCTCGAACTGGGGCGGGGGCAGCCCCGACCTTGGCTCTCTTCCTCCCTATGATTACTCCACGTAGTCCTCGTGTGAAATTGGGTGTAGGTATGGGGTCCCGCTGCTCCCTGCCGGCCCACACCCACGCACGCACTTTTTATAAGGCTGGTTCCCCGCCTTTCCTGTATATAAGGTTGCCGGGCTAGCGTAGATGATGACAAGCTGTGTTGGCCGTCGATGCGTCGAAGGATTCTTATGGGAAAGGAGCATTTGGAGGGTGGTGAGACAGGCTTCTGAATTCCCTGATGTTAAAAATGTGTTTCTTTTTTAAGCAGTCCTGTGTGCCACCCCTTTGGGCAGCAAGAGGCAAGATCTGGTTTCATTTTTGTCCAAACAGTACATCCCCCCCTCCCGCCGCCACCGCTTCATATCATGCCACTTTCCCAGGGGCCACTGACTTGCACATGCTTCTGTGCAATCTGCTTGGGGTAACTCCTTCTCTCTGAGTGCATCACTAATTAACATCCATCTTTATAGTGCCCTGAAGCAGGTATATTAATGAGCAATGTAGTCATCTCCTTGTTCTGCTCTGGACACAGTAATCCTACTAATCACCCACTCCTCTTCCCAATCCTTCTTGGCAAGAAGAGTGCAGTCTCTATTAGCCCTTCTGTCCTCCCAGATTTACGGTAAAATTACCTTTTCTGTGTCTGATTCTTCATCTTCCAACAGATAACATTTGTGGGGAGGGGGGGACCAGGTTGAAGAAAATTAGATGGAGGAATGGAAAGTAAAAACCACTTGTTCTCTGAATCTTCTGAGTAATTTTTGGCAAATATTTTGTGATAGGTTATATATCATCTTGGAATTGATGTTCTTTTGAATAACGCTTTTTCAGTCTTTGTAGCATCGACCTTAATTTTGAAAGCCATTGCCATTGATTTAAATCGTACTGCTGGTCTGAAGCTTGGGAGTGGTGCAGTTTTGCTTGAGTTTTTAACAAAATAAGTTGCATTTGAGAGCAGATGTGCTCAAGAATAATCCAGTTCTTGTGATATACTGCCATGTAAGAAATAAAGTTATATCTTTTTAATATTAGGATTGTGGCTTGTACAAATATTTTGCTGCTTCGGATTTGCTGCTTTAGAGAATAGTAGGGAGTGGGATTCTTTGCAATCCTCTAATGGGTCTCCCTTTTTGGCTTAGAGTTTTTAAGAGCTGTATTAATGGATATTGATAGTGTTTTCTTTCATACACTGCCAGGCCAAATCAATATATGAGATTGGGCTTTACTATTCTCTCCACAAGAGATTTGAATGAATTTAGCCCTTGCCATGGGGATTTTAGAGAATGGAGAAGTTGCAAAATCAATTGCTTTCCTTCCAGTTATATTATGAAAGGTTGAGGGAAAAAATCTTTTGCAAACACGGTGAAACAGTGCTGTTTACATCATAACATTGTAAATTAAGGCTTAAGCCCTATGTAGGACTATGAAATCTTATTTATGCATGTTGATTTAAATGGGTTTCAGTACAGCTGACTCCAGATGGGATCAAACAGAGATGTAAAACTTTGTGTCTTTTATGGAGTGGGGGCTGTCATGTCACTTTCACTTTCTTCACTATGCTATGTCAAAATAAAAGGTTTTGTTAATTTTTCCTCCATACTAATCTGCCCTTGAAATGCTAGAGATTGTGCAGGCACAGTACTCGGAAAGTGACTTTGCAAAATGTATTAGTCTGGTGTAGCTGTTAACTCTTGCTTTAAATTAATGTTGTCCTCTCAACATAGATGTATTGAATGAAGTTTCGATAGTAAATTGTTCCTGCAGATGTAAGTAAATTAGGTCAAGGTGGCTGTTCTGCTCTTTGTATTCTTACATCATGCACTTTGCATAATATTACTCTTTAATATGCTAGTGCCCTACAGCATTTGTGAGCACTTTGCTACTAAAATCACAGTAGTCCTATTTAGGCAGGTACTTCAGAATTTACTAATCTTGAAATCTGTATATTTGTTTCACATTGCAGAGTTCAGTTCAGTTCAGGGCAATTGGTTTTGAAGAAATACGTCCGGATATTTTCTCTCTCCAGTTTCACTTATGAATGAAGAGCACTTCAATTCTTACCTGTGCCAAGCTCAGTAGAGCTATCAAGTATTAAATGTACCATGGAGCAAAACTGTTTTGACTCTCTGTAATGTTTCTTTTCTTACCCTCTGTACTTCCCAGTATCTCACCCAGAATTACTCAGTTTTTGCATAAACCTCACAGCAAGCTAAAAAAAAATTAGATGCACCTAATTCTTCCATTGAGCTGTAGGGAGGTAGCCCTTGTATTGATCTTTAGTTCCAAAGATACTGTGCCTAAGCTCTCTGCCCTCACCATTTCATTCATGAAGCCTTTTCCCCATTAAAAAGTTTCTTAAAAACTGCCTCTTTTGCAAGTCTGTCGGAGCCTTGTCGTTTCTGTATGCTTTGCTATAGTAGCCTTCTTTATCAAGCTCTCCCTTCCTTATTGTTACCTGTCTTAGTATGCTTCCAGGTGGATGTTTCTGAATGAGCTCTCTACTAGACTTAAGTGGCAGAGCAAAACCAGCAGGGATGACAGAAGTCAAGTGCTGTTCTAGAGTCCTTCATTGATTAGTACCTCATTTTCTCCATTTTTGTGTTATCAATAAAGCATAAAAATAGCCTGGAAGTAACTGCAGTTTGAACAGCATGATTTTTACCCAGCCAGTAAACCCTTGTGTAAAGAATTGTTGGGTTTTTGTGCAGAATCTAGCTCGCTGTCACACTACTTAGATAATGGTACTACCTGGATAAGTAAAGTCATTTTCAAGCATAATTTGTGTGACATTCAAGGGATTGTCATTGTACAGCTTTTTTTACTATGGTCATCAGGGTAGACAAAATAATTATGTATTTTTTCACCTAATAACTCATCTTCTCTAGGCAGATCACAGAAGCTAAAAGAATTTTAAAAATATATAGCAAAAAAACAAACATTGTAAAAAAACAAACAAAAAAGCCCCTCCCTAAATTCTAAGTGGTGTGCCTTCATTCAACAACTCTTTTCCTTTATGTACATACAATTTTAATCAAAATTTGCTCTATCCTTAGAGCTGTGTAGAGTACTTAATTTCCACATTATATATACAGTGCTATGTTTTATGATGAAATTTGGTTTTCCCACTGCAAACAAATAAAGTATTATTGCTGGTTTCCAAGCATTAGGATTAATAAAAATCATTGTTGCACAGCCTGTCAACAATTTCACAGGATCTTTAATAGAGTTTTGCCATAGTTAACTAATGGAGTCATTGGTGAAGGTTTTTATATATGTGCAGCAGTATAAACTGTTTCATGTAAAAAAAAATAGTTATGAGTCCTTATGAATAAGTCCATAAAGGTTTAAGACTGCAAAACATTTTACTGGCCCACCCCCACATCACTTGTAGAGGTGGTGTGTGAGGGGAGGGGCAGAAAAAGAAAAAAGTATTCCAGTTTTGCTTTAGCTTCTCTGCCTATTGGTGATTCTTATTTGCCAGACGTTGCTAGCTGAATGACTATTTTGAGGCAGCAGTACATGCAAGATGCAATCATCTGTGGAGATGTCTGTTATACTCACTTCCTTATTTTTGGTTTGTAAATGTATAGCTGTCTTTCTTTCATTAAACAGGTTGTCAGCTTTCCCACACTGAAAGCATTCAAGAGACAGTTGAACAGCATCTGTCAGGGATGCGTTAACATAGGGGGTTAAACTCAATGCCATTATATGCCCCTTCCAACTCTGTCATTCTGTTACAGCCTGAGTACAAGAACACTGCCGCACAGGTAAAATTCCTAGTCCCCTGCATCTCTCAAAAAAACTGATCCTAATGGTCAGACCCCCCCCCCCCCCCCGAAAGTCCTAGGATGTGAAGTGGGGGCTGAATTAGGAAGACAGAAGTCAAGAAAAATTGAATGGAAGCATCTTGCTTGATAACTAATTAAAAATGCTCGCTTGAATTCTTTTTTCCTAATCAGACATTTCAGTTCAGCTACTCTGTGTTATTGGTCAGAGTTTTTGAGAGATACACATATATTGAAAAATCGACATGACATACTTTCTTAGTTTATTAAATATAAGCCTAATAACTATACTACTATCACTGTCAATTTAGAACATTGGAAATCTTTCCAGGTTTTTGCTTCAAATTGAAAAACTTTTGGAAAACCTACCTCACTGCCAATAAGCAGCCCTCCTGCTACTTTTGATTGATGTCAAAAGAAAAGACGGGGCTAGATGGATTTCTTTAAAAGTTTATTTCACAATGTTGGCACTGTAACTGAAACAGCCCTGCCCCATGTACTCATCTACTGCACCTGCTACAAGGTAGGATTTCTGCTGTTGAATGAGGAACACATTGATGTTGAAGTAGAAAACACATAGAACTAATCCTGATCACATTAGATAGGAATTCAATGTCATATACTAGAGATTTGTGCTCTGGCAGAGATATTTAATGCTCAATCATATAAATGTATTCATTTAGTATATTTATATTCCAGCTCTTTTTTGTCCTTATGTGTTATTAGGCCTCATGTAATACTTTGGGGTTTTTTATTTGTTCCCTGACCTGAGTCAGATGAATTATACTTGACAGATAATCATGGTAATCCAAAGAGATTTTTTAAGAACAATTCTTAAAAGGCAGGGAGAAAAACTTTCCTTTCTAAAATGAATGAAATATTAATTATGTGTTCACATTACATTGTGACAGGAATGAATATGACATAGCGTTCTCA